ATAAAAAAACACGCACTCAGAGAAAATATGTGCAAGTCACATATCTAATGAAGGATTTATATCTAAGATATATGAAGAATTCTCAGAACTCAATATTAAGAAAACAAACAACCCAAATTCCTAAGTGTTCAAGAGATCTGCAGGTACTTTACCAAAGAAAACATACAGATGGTAAATAAGCACATGAAAAGATTCTTAACATCAGTCACTAGGGAAACAGAAAATGAAATCACAATGAATTACTACTACACATCTATTAGAATTAAAAAACAAAACCAAACATAATACCAAGCACTGGTGGGTATGTGGAACAACTGGAACTCCCATACACTGCTGGTGAGAATGTAAAATGGAACAGCTACTTTGGAAAGCAGTATGGCAGTATCTTACAAACAAACAAGCAAAAAAACTTGCCATATAACCCAGCAATCCCACACCATACTAAAAGTTTATGTTAATACAAAACCCTGTTTACAAATGCTTATAGCAGTTTTATTCATAGTTACCAAAAAAAACGTAAATAATTTCAATGTGCCTCAACTGAGTAATGGATAAACAAATTGTGATACATTCATACAGTGGGATACTGCTCAGAAAGAAATCAATTACTGATATACACATCCACACGGATGAATCTCAAAGATTTAAGCAAAAAGTCAGACTCAAAAGGCTACATATTATGTATATGACATTCTGGAAAAGGAAAATGACTAGAGACAGAAAACAAATTAGGGGTTGCCAAGTACAGGGGGTTGGGAGAAAGACTGACTACAAAGGAGCAAGAGGGAATTTGGTGGTGACGGAATTGCTCTATATGTTGGCTGTGGTAGTGATGGTTATACAACCACATGTGTTTGTTAAAATTGCAGAATTATACAGTAAAAAGGGTGAAGGTTACTATATGCAAATATTTCCTTACTAAAAATTTTTTTTAAAAAGGTTAAACTAAGTTAAACTGACAAAACTCAAAGCGTTTCATACACAAAAACTTAGTAAAAAAGTGGCCAGACATTTTTGGGAATTAAGGTCTAAATTACAACTGTGCTCCAGTAGGCACATTAATCTTGTTTATTTTTACTTCTCTAGTAGGAAAACTAGAGCATATTTGATTCCCAAAAATATACTTTAAAAGATAACTAAACCTACTATAAAATGTTTTATAAATTCCAAGCGTCCAGTAGGTCATTAACTCAATGAAATTCATCATTATGCTTTCTCCCATCCTACACTCCCATCTGCTCTGCTCAGTTTCTCAAAATCTTTGTACATTTTCTTTTTGGCTATCCACCATGTCAGAACATTCAATTCTATATTTCATTAACTCATATAAAATTCTCTTTAGCTTTTACTTTTCAATATTATCAGTTTTTCCTTTGATAATACTCTGTCTTCTCCTTATCCTTATAACACTTTTGCCTATCACCTTAGTTCAGCTCCTTATCATTTCTTGCTCCTGACTAGCCTTCTTGACTTCAGACTATCTCTACTTTCATTGATCTTGCCCATAGCTGACACACTGATCTACCAAAACCTTCTTTAATTCCTCATTTTTCTTGACACAGTGGATCTACTTCCACTTAATTAATGGCAGTGTTTTTTCAGTGGAAATCTGAGGGATTTTTTAATGGGATGGTGAAAAAAATTAGTTTAGCATTTTAGTATTACTCTCATAGAAATGTGATGAATGGTTTTAGATTATATTATTTAAAAGTTAATCAGTGTCAATATCATTTAGGAATTAAGTAAAAATAGTTCAATTAAAATATCATTTAAAATCCAATTTAAAGAATTTGAAATAGCCCTTAGAATGTACTTGGATTAACAATAATGTTATTACCCTCAGTCTTGTTCTAGTAAATCTCTAAATTATTTGTCTTTCACTACATAATTTTCTGATTCTTTCATTATTCAAAAGGATTGGCACATGTATAAACTGAGTAGATGCTTCCTAAATTATGTTTCACATAGAAGTTGAAAGGTGTGTATGTAGAGAGGTGGACAATAAAAGTAATGAGGGGTAGAGGCAAGGATTTCATGGTCAACTAAGTTTGCAAATGTTTCTCTTTTTGTATTTTGAACATTTTTTCTATGAGTATGCCCATTAACATCTCACAGAACACTAGGCAGAACAATGTTTGAAATCTTTCTACAGAAGACTGGTTAAATTAAAACCAAGTTAAAAAATTAAATTGCCTCCAAGGCACAATGCCTACACCACAGGCAGCAGTTTCCAGATAGCTACTCATTGGGGAATATAGACACAACTCAGGTAGATTCACATTGTCTTGAATAGCTAAATGAATACCTTGCCACTTGGTAGTGTGCTGATTACCAGAAGTTTCTGCATCACCTTAAAGATTTTTGAAGACAAGGAGTCTCACACTCTTCCCCAAAATTACTCAATTCCAATCTTCATAATTGTCACAAGATTCCCCGCATAATTCATAAGCATATTAAAATTTGAGAAGCACTGATCTACAACACAGATTGGCAATGTTTTTCTTAAAAGGGCTAGATAGTTAATATTTTATGCTTTGGAGGCCATACATCTTGTTATAACTAGTCAACTACGCTGTTTGCCATAATGATAATAGAATCAATATGGTAAGAAGATATAACAATTAAAGATGCATTTACACCAACAAACAGAACCTCAAAATACATGAAGCAAAAAACTGACAGAATTGAAAGTGGTAACTGGCAATTCAGCTATTATAATGAAGATTTTAATCCCTTTCAGTATTATAGAACTAGACAGAAAATTTGCAAGGCTGTGCAAGATATATGAACAACATTACCAATGTAGTGCGCTGTATCCATCAACATAGCACTCATTATTTTCAAGTGAGCATTCCAGGTCACAAAAAAAATCTTAATAAAAGACTAAAATCATAAAAACTATGTTCTCTAACTGAAGGAATCAAATTAGAAATCAACCACGGAAGGAAATGTGGGACATCCCCAAATTTTAGGGTATTACACAACAAGCTTTTAAATAACCCACGGGGTCAAAAAAAGAAATTTCAAGGGAAATTAGAAAATATCTCATAAGATGGCACAGTACCATCATAAGCATAGACATACAGATCCATATAACAAAATAGCTAAACAAATAAGGTCTTACATTTATACTTAACTGACTGTAAATGAAGATGCCAAAACATTTAAATGGGAGAAAGGTTAGGCTTTTCAACAAATGGTGCTGGAAACAATTAGACATTCATATATTTAAAAAAAAAAAAAAAAAAAAAAAAGGTCCTTACTTCATACCATTAACAAAAATCAACTAAAATGGATCATTACACCTTAATGTAAAAGTTAAAATGATAAAAGCAAAACAATTGTGACCTAGGGTTGAACAAGGATTTCTTTGATAAGATACTAAAAGTCTATAAAAGAAAAAGATGATAAATTGGTCTTTAACTCAATATAAAAATGAGCAAAAGATTTGAATAGATAGTTCAACAACAAAATGGCTGATTCACACATTAAAAAATGGTCAACACTGTTACTTACTAGAGACATGCAAAGTAAAACCACAATGAGATACCCTTCCATACCTAAATTGAGAAAGAGTCTCAAGTAGATCAGTTTTAGAAAAGAGTAGAAGGGAAGGTGAGAATCTGGAAATCGATTTCTTAAAATTATCTTTGCTGATGTACTCCTTGGAAAACTTTTGAATACCTCCAGTGGTATACACACTGTATTCAAAGACCACCAGTATAAGAAAAAATAATGTGGTAATCAGGAAATATTTGGTTAACAGAATTTGACGGCCTAGAACGAATGCTGACTTGGAAAAGAAAAAATAGTTAGGGCTGCATAAAGGAGCTGGAAGGAAGAGGAGGCAAGGAAGAGGGAGGGAGGAGAACTCTTGCTAGAATTTCTGACATCATCATAATTCTAATAGTCCCTATCACTGGCAAGTAGAACTAAGTGAGGATGATATCCTCAGGCAGCACCCAAAATGTTTTCATCATGTAGTTGTTAACTCCCACTCTGGCTCTCTGTCCCAGTCCACTCTGACTAAAAAGCACCATGCCCAGGCAAGTTTCCACATCTCCTGCTTCAAACACTTACTTCAGGAAATCATTCCACAGCAACAAAATGGTGCAGAGAACTGCATCAAGAAGCGCTGACTTTGCTTTATACCCCACAACCCAGCCTGATGTACACAGATGATGGTATTTTCACACTGTAATACTAATTGTTTGCATATATACTAGCCTCTTTCCCCTTCCATGAGACTGTGCTGCCTTTGACAGAGACATCTTGAGATTTTCAGCACCCAGTATAGTGCCTGGCACATGGTGTATAGTCAATAAATTTTCAAAGAATGGAACACAGGATTTGTTAATACTGTAGATACAAACTCCAACTGCACAGTCGGAATACCTTGTCTTTTTAAAAATATTTCTGGGCAGCAAATGTACTGTAAAATCTGTTTTATTCTTTCGTAGGAGAGCATCTAATTTATAATTAACTACCTGATATGTTGTTATACATCTAATATATATAAAATCTTCAGGGAAACAGCTACATAAAAGAAATGTGTTGTAGTAAAGAGACTAGAAAATAGAAGTTAGGTAACCTTGTTCTTGCTAGTACCAGTGATTTTGGATGTTGTCTTCTCTGGCTTTCCATTTCATCATGGATGAAATGAAAAGATCAAAGTATAATCTCTAAATACTCTCCAAATGCTAGTATTCTAAAGATCTTTAATCTGTGAATCTTTCACTAATGAACAATAAGGACATGGGAGGCATGTCACATGTTTACTATTCCTAACATTTTGGCACCTCTCTGCTAGAGATCAAACTAAATTATCCTGTCAAAATGCATTCAGTGCTTCAACTCCATAAACAAAATTAAGTAAAGGCCAAATAAGAATCTCCTTTTGAAATCAGGAACTTGACCTTACAATTCTAAATTCAATTCTTAAAGCTAGCATTTTATCATACACTATAGGTATTGACATAATAGACAAATCATAAGCTTACCTGCCAGGAAACTGCTCCCAAAATCGCTGTTGCAAGAAGACTAAAAAAAACCAACTGCTCTGAAATTAAGCAAAAATGACGCATCCCTTTGGATGCCATTATTCTATCAAGGCTATTGTTATCTGCCCTGTGGGTAAAATATACTTTATGGCAGTCATTTAATTTGGTATGAAATCCCCAAAGAGTTAAAAGAAAAATAATATGGCAAATCACCCAAAAAATTCCAAAAATGGAAAAGCCTGGTATTACAAAATACCAGAGATGAGTGTCTCTAAGTTTAAATGCTGAAAGAATAAAAAACGTAAGCTCAATCATTCCAGTGAAAACGACTGAAAGTCTTCTGCAAATTCTTCCACGGTACAAAAATGGTTTCCACCTTTCAGTCACTGAAAGTCCACTAAAATAAATGTCAAGGAAAGGATCAGTTATCAGGCAAATAAAAAAACATGCAAAAGCAATTGGATTTTTGGGAGTTTCCAATGAGGAAAAAAATAGCAAGACTGCAAAAATAATTAAGTTTGGAATAGCTAGGAAGGACTTCATTCTGAGGTCAATAATCAACATGGCCATAGCTACAACAAGTAAAATGACACTTAGAGACTTCTCCACCAACATAGTTGTGCTGGCAATGGCAAATCCAACAAGTTCCAGAAATTCAACCGTGGTCAGTAAAGTAGGTCGATGACGGATATAACCAGAAATTCTCTCCACCAGAGCACATAATATCCTTAATACTATGGAAGTTAGAAGCAAATATTTGGTTGATTCTTCTTTTACATCATTTTTAAAGGATGAATTATCAAGAAAACATAGGAGGCCAAGCAAAAATCCAAACCAAAGATTGGAGAGACTTAAACTTGCTGCTTCCATTGAAAAATAATAATAGAGTATGCTGGCAATTCCAAGAACAAAAAGACCAAGAATAAAAATTACCAAAATTAAGGAATTTGCTGTTTTCTCCCATCTTACATAAAGACCTAAGCATATAGCAACCAGTAAATTGATTCTGGCTAAATAGCCAAGATACCGCACTGAAGAGTGCATGTTCACTTCTCTATTTACTTCTTCCAGTCTTGTCATTGCTAAATAGAGACAATGACTAAAGCAATAACGCAGTGATTTACACATGTAAACTGGCAATTTAGGCTTCTTCCCCACGTTACAAAAATTAACTGCTTGTATTTCATTCAGTAAATCCACTGTATCCGTAGCTCCTATTTCAACATTTTCTCAGGTAGAAATTTTGTTTATAGTGCTCTAAAAAAAGGAAAAGATTTCAGTGTTAATTTTATAAAGTTTACTTTTTATATGCATCTTCTTTATACAAAATAATAAGTGAAAAACAGAATCCAATTTAAACTGAAATCCAGTTTAATACCTGATTTGTACATATTACTGTTTCTGGCTTTAAAACTCAGCAGTTTATCTAAACAAAAATGACTGTGCTTTCAACTACTCATATGCTAAAACTGTATGTCTAAGTCACCATCAATGGAATTGTTTTTCCAGAGATGGTGAAAAATTCACCTAATCCATTCTTATTCCAATTATTGGTTTTTCAACAACATACAAATATGAGACGCTAGCTTTAGCTTAGATTGTGGCAGATGACTTTGGCACAATGGAAAGCTACTCAGTTCTTATAGGAAATGAAGAATTTAGTCATTATCTCTAATTTGAAAAGCACCAGTATATAGTAAGAGCAACCATTACTACCTGCCAAAATCCCCTATATCTTTTTTTTGGGGGGGGGGTTGGAGTTTCACTCTGTCACCCAGGCTGGAGGGCAGTGGCATGCTCCTGTCCACCGCAGCCTCGACCTGCTGAACTCCTGCGATCCTTCTGCCTCAGCCTTCCAAGTAGCTCAAACTACAGCCTGGCTAATTTTTTATTTATTGTAGAGACGAGGACTCGCCAAGTTGCTCGGGTGGGTCTCGAACCTGCGGGCTCAGGGAATCCTCTCGCCTCAGCCTCCCAAAGTGCTGGGATTACAGGCTGAGCCACCGAGCCTGGCTCCCTCCATCTTTTTTATAAGGCAAATTCTATAATGCTATAAAATCTTAGACTTCATATTGTTTAGATAATAAACTTACTAGAAGTAAAGTTTAATGGTATTAAAGTTACTCAGTCCCTAAAGGTGACCCAAAATTCTCCCTGTACTTTTACCTCTACTAAATTACTTTCATTGTCAAACTTATCTTCCAAATCTAAACATTATCTCTGTAGCGAACCAATTCCTGAACTTCCTAACCAAAATTGAAAAGCTGGATGCTGACCAACAGTCACTGGAAAGTAACTGAAGAGTTTTTCAATTCTACTTAATTTACTTCAACCCTAAGGTCTCTGTAGTTGCACCTAAAATATTATAATGGTCACAAATGATGTAACTATTTATTAGAAAATTCTTCTAAATTTCCTATGTAAGGTTTCAGAAGAACTTATTTACAGCAATAGCTCATGGTTACATGACTATCTAAGGAAAACCCAGTTGGATACTTAAAAAATAACTTGTCTGTGATAAATTTATTTATACTTTCTTAATAGCAGTACACTAAAAAAAAAAAACCCAATAGAAACATGAGACAACCTGGAATTAACTTTAGAACCCAAGTGGCTGGAGAAGAATGTCACTAAAGCAAACTTTGGGTCTCTAGGAGGTTCCAAATATCATTACTAATTGTACTTCTGTATGTTTAGCAAGCATTTTTTTTTTTTACAACTAAATCTATTTAATTAAGAATCACAACTGATTTTCCTCAATTACATGTTTATTCAATTGCTTTTTATTTAAGATACTACATAATATTAAAGAAAAGTCTTACTTTGGTATATTTTGGTTTATCTTTTTAAGTTGGGTGTAACTGATAAAATCTTGAGGTTTTTCCCTTAACATTCCTATTGTGTGTTATATAGTAATTCAACAACTATGTTAAATTATAAATTCTCAAAGGCTGATGACACAGTTGGGGCTCAGACTACTAGCACCGCTGGAGGGGGTAAAAAAAAAAATCACACACTAAGCTAAATGGTGCCGCTCTAAATTCATGAGACATCCTTTTGTGTTTCCCTGGTCATCACCCTTCCCCCCCCCCAGTGATTATTCAAACGTCTCTTCCCTCTCCTCAAATGTCTGATACCCACTTCCCCCTATATTCTCACTAGATGACTCTGCCTCCTACAGAGTCATCAGAAGGGAGTTCACTTGAGTTTCCAGCTCCACAAACCCACTTCTACTTACATCTCCAGATACAAAGAAAGAAGGGTGACCCCTCTCTATCCAAGTCTAAATCTTTGGCCATATTGTGTATCTCTTTTCTTCTGCCTCTTCTAGAACATCACACATCCTCATCTCTCTTCAAATGCTCACTTTTCTCTTATCCTTTAGCACTTAAACATTTGTAAACCTGTTTGGTTTTTTTTTTTTTTTTTTGAGTCATAGTCTCACTCTGTCACCCAGGCTAAAGTGCAGTGGCAAGCTCATGGCCACTGCAGCCTCGACCTGCTGGGTTCAGGCGATCCTTCCACTTCAGCCTTCTAAGTAGCTGGAACTATAGGCGTGAGGCACCGCGTCCAGCTAACTTTTTGATTTATTGTAGAGACGAGGTCTCACCATGTTGCCCAGGCTGGTCTGAAACTCGCGGGCTCAGGCAATCCTCTCGCCTCTGCCTCCCAAAGTGCTGGGATTATAGGCATGAGTCACCATGGCTGGCCTGTAAACCTGTTTTTAAAAACAATACAAAAAAAGTAAGAAAACAATCTTTGCTCATCCCCATCTTCTCTACCAAGTTCAATCTTCTGTCTGTCCTCCTTTTGAAAGCTAATTATTTAGTTGCTTTACCTCTTACCCACTCACTTTTCAAACCACTAAATGGTGTTTCCACAACAACTACACTGCTAAGTTCTGAAATGACCCAGGTACTTTTCGCTCAATATCCTGCACATTCTTTAAACAATCTTTGACATTATTAGCTCCTCTCATCTCCTGAACCCTTCCCTTTTCTTGGCATCCCAAAGACTAAGTCTCCAGATATTCTTCCTAACTCATTCATCTCTCCTCCTCAGTATCCTTGAAAGCTCTTCGTTCTCAACTCATCTTTGTTTTCAATCCTAAGCCTAGGCTTTTCTCTCACCACACATTTTCCCTGAGAAATTTCATTTATTTCCATGTCTTCATTTATTATCCCTCTACCTAATTGCACACATATATTAATATGCCTATAGAAACAGACTCAATCAGCTCTGTTGGGCACTATTAACAGAAGTAAAATCTTGGAAACAAAGTACATGTAAGTATGCAACAAACATATAAAGTATAGTACATCCATGTCACATGACACATATAGTTACCTTCTTTGGGGCCAAAAACAAAGTGGTATATAATTGTTTCAAAACAGTTAATTTACAAAAGTCTTTCCCCATTCTGTCCTTCAAAAGACAGCCTGAATCAGAGAGTAACACAGAATTACAATCTTTTTCAATTGGTATGCCATCATTAATGATTCAATGTAAAATTACTCGAGGCAGACAAAAATGGAGCACAGAAGAGTCAATCTGCATGATAAAAGTTAAACAATCACCGCCAGAGTTTGATTATTCTATAAAACCCTATATAGTACTCTAACCTCCCTTTCCTTCATCATTTTCATTTTTTTTCCCCTGTCGGTGTCTCACTGTCACTCATGCTGGAGTGCAGTAACACCATCACAGCTCACCACAGCCTCAAACTCCTGGACTCTAGCGATCCTCCCACCTCAGCCTCCTGAACAGCTGGGACTGTGGGCTTGTGCCACCATACCCAGCTAACCTTTTTGATTTTTTTTTTTTTTGTGGTAGAGATGAGGTCTCACTATGTTGCCAAGTTTGGTCTTAAATTCTTGGGATCAAGTAGTCCTCCTGCCTCAGCCTTCCAAAGTGCTGAGATTATAGGCATGGACCACCACCTCCAGCCTCATCATTTACATTCATTGCTCAACAAATCCTGTCTACTCTTCTTCCTAAGCATCTTTTAAATGTTTCGACTTTCTCTCATTCCTAAGGTCACCATCATCTTATGCTGAATGTCTCGAATCAAATCATTCTACTATGTAAAATGCTCCAATGGCTTCCTATTGCCCTCAGCAATCGAGTTTAGACTCCTTCCAATGCCTTACAAAGCGTTCCACATTGGACCTGAATAACTCTCCTGTCTCATCTGTTACCATTCTTCCTCTCACATTTGCATTCCAGCGGTACTGACCTTTCAGTTATGAACTGCACAAACGCTATTACCTCTCCATCCAGGTGTCCTCCTTTCCCTCCCCTGGCCTCACCCCAGAACTTACACCTGCCTTCCTACTACTTTCCAGGTCTCAACTTATATCACTTTTTTTTTTTTTTTTAAGGCAGATTACTCCTGAGCCCATTATATGATCCCTGTACTTTTTCTGTTATACCGCCTCGCTTATTTGATGTCTGCATTTTCCACTAGAACACAAGGTCTCTGAGGGTTTGTCTTCAAATACTATATGCTCAGTAACAGGCAGAAAGTCTGGCATCGAGAATATATCCAACAAAGACTTGTTGAAAAAAATGAAGTCTACATTTGACAATAATGATTGTAAATGACTGGACACTTACTAATGCACAAAGAGAATAAATAACTAGTCTAATATTCCACAGCAAATCAGTAGTAGAGCTACGAGAGAAGACATGAATCTTTGTTTTTCTCTTGGCCTGATGCCAGTCTTCACTTAATTCACCCCATTTCTTCCAAACCAGTATGTTCTGTCTCCATGCCCTATCTCTAGAGAATGGCTTCAGGGCACACTGTGCCACTTGCATTATCTTCCACTCAAATGATCTCTGTCCCATGTAGAAGTGTCAAAGTCAGGAACCACAACGAGAAGCCAGGGTCAGGGAATTTCATTGCTTCAGTTCTGTGAGTTCATGGTAACTCTTTGGGCTCATCTCATACGAGGAAACTGACACTTCGAATATTAAATTCCTCTCAACAGGGCAGGAATACCAATTTCTCTCCCACTAGGCCTCCCTCCAGAGAGATGCGAAAGGCCCGACGAGAAGCCCGGCTGTTCAGCACTGCTCCGCTTCAGGGGAAAGAAATCACAGCGTGGCGTCCCATTGAGGGGAAGCCTTTGGCGGCCAGGATAGGCGCCCCACGCACCCTCCACTCCCCACTCGCCACAGTCGCCTCCTCCAGAGGCAGGTATCCTACCCCCGCCCTGGGAAGCCGGCTGGGCGGAGCTTGGGGTCCGCACCACGCGCAGCCCTGGGCGGTGTCTGTGCCCAGATCTCGCCGCCCCACGTCCACTCCACCGCGTCCCCCCTACCTGACTCGGCCGTCGCCACCGACGCTCTCGCAACCCTGAGTCTGTCCCGAAGCCACCACAGCAACGGGGATGGAGGGAGCTGAGGGCTGAGCATGCGACTCGGAACAGGGAGGTGGCACAGCAGAGGGAACGAGGGGCCGAGGCCGTACGCGCTAGTACAGGCCAGTCTCGGTAGAAACTTTCTCCGTTACCGGCCCGGCCGCGGCCGCCATGTTTCCGGCGCCGAATCCGCGACGGTACGGAGCGTCGCCGGGGTCAAACCGCGCGGCGCGCTTCCTTCCTAGGGTCGGCCGAGGCCCGGCCCCCTCCCCGCCCAAACCCGCCGCGCGGCCGCCGATCCCGGTGCGCCTGGCGCCGCGCGAGTTCAACCCGCCCCACTTGAGTCGCCCGCCTCGCGCGGCCCACCGCCGTCTCCCCAGGCCCGGAGTCAACAGTGGGGAACAGGGAACGGGAAGACCCCCAAGGAATCAGGCGGACCTGCCCCAAGCATCTAGGTCACCGCCTTGGGCTGGACCGAAACTGGGACCGGACGGGCGGGACGGCCACACGTGGACTGTAAATACTGCGGGAGGCGTTGCTGCTCTTTAATATATGTGGCATAATATATGACTTTGTCTCCCCGACCAGCTAAAGCCCAGGCTCCTGAAGGCCTGCCTTCAAAACCCTTCATGTCCTCAAATGCAGGGACAGGTCCGCTTTTGCTCAACATTACATCAGCTTAGCATAGTGCCTGATACATAGTTAGCACTTAAATTTTTGAAAATAAATTAGTAGTATGTAATACACTCTCACCAATCACCAGTTCTCTCCTCCTACTTATTTTGTGTTAGTGTTATCATGTATTTTTTTCCTATCTTCCCTAGTAGAGTGTGAAGTTTCTTCATTTTCGTTTCATAGATGTGGAGGTGTGGGCAGCACATCTATAGGGCTGAACCAAGGGTGAACCATTTTCATCCACATAATCGATGAAAAGTTTGAGTTACATTCTCTCTAGACTCCTAGTTCTAAATGCAATCACTACCCCACTCCCAAATTTGCAACTCTGTCTCTCTGGGGAACACCAGTGCCACACTTCCAACTACTTGCTAGACATTTCTAGTCAGATATGTTGTCATCCCTTCCAATTCAGCTTGCCTTTAATGTATAATTTTTAAATGCCCACCATCTGAATCTTCTTTCCATTTTTGGGAATTTCCCACCTTAGTCTAGTGGCTGCAGTGGAAATGACACATACTTGCTTAAACAGCCATGTGTACCAGCTGGAAGCTAGTGGGTCAAAAAACCAACCAACCAAACAAACAAACAAAAAACAGGCACAGAAAGCTGTGCTCCTTGGGCATCTGCAGGAGTGTAGCAAGGTAAGTTCCCGGGGCAGTACTGGGAGTAGTTCACTCGGTGGCATCTACCATCCAGTAGGAGCAGTGTCAGAGAGGTAAGATGCCCATGCTTGGTGAGGGCAACAACTCCAGAGCCTTCTCCCAATCAGTTCTGTATCCTGTTATAGTCTCTGTGATTTCTGTGTAGCATGTGATAACCAGTCCTGTACAGCCAGTGGCAACCTTTGGCCATGAATGCCCAAGTCTTGGTCTCCAGCAATCCTTTGAGTTATCCAATATTCTCTAATAAACTTACTCTCTGCTTAAATCACCTACAGCTGGTTTCTGTTGCACAGGCCTAAGATTTCTCATTAAACAGTGCTTTTTCGTCTTCTAACATGGTCCTCTGCCTTGTGACCTTAAAACTATTTTTGTTGCTTGTTATTTTGTCATTATACTTTAGAACACTTCCATGAGATGTGTATATATTTGAAAGTTAACTTTAATCTGCACACTCCAGGGTGGGTAATTAGCATTTGAAAGATAGTCATCAAGCATCTTCACTACAGAGTTGGATACAGAAATGCTTCCAACATCACTATGTAAATCTGCACTAGAGGTACGTTCATTAGCGTACAGGATTAGAAAGAATTTTTCATTGTGCAAATGAGGTGTTCAAGATATGTGCCTGGCTGGAATATTGTACAGGCTCCTCTTCCCTTGCATAAATGTGGTGTGGGAATCTGCTGAGTCTAGCAGACTGACACATTTCAGAATGTCTCTCTGAGTCTAGACTGCTGTTTAATTCTTTGCCGCAAAGTACTATTTGAATACTGTTTTTGTGCCTGCTTGATGATAAAATATTTGTGTAGTGACATTCAGTCTGAGACTTGTTTTCATTGTAGGATACCACCTAGTAGTACAAGAGGGAGACAGGTAGTTCTCATCAGTCTTTAGTTATTGAAGGCTACCAGTATTTACTAGAAGAACCTGACAATTTTCATCCACCCTGTTTCTTGTATTTATCGTTTCCTGTCAACTTCTCTTGCCTCTACCCTGTTGGTATTACTTCAGTAACCTCCTCTGTGCTGCTCATCTTGACTTCAGCCTCACCTCAGTCTAATTCATTACACAGGTCCCTGGCTGATATTCTCTGAGAATCACTCTGTCACTTCTAAAATCAGTGACTTCTGCAGACTACAGAATGAAGTCCAGTAAATTCAGTCCGGTGCCTGAGGCTCTTCTGGACCTAATCTAACTCCCCATTTGCCTAGTGCTATTTATCCTGAAATTAGAAATGTCAGGGTCAGTTCCTGACATCTGGCATATCCACAACCAAACACCTGACTATAAAGCAGCCACCTGGGAACCATTTCAGTGACAGGAGATTTCAGGCTGTGGTTATTGATGGCAGTATAATGATCCTAATAGCTGGAACATCCACTCTTCAACACCTGCTTCTAAACAGGCAAGGTCTGTGTGCTCCAGGATAGAAATATCACCCAGAGGAGTTAATCCAGACCAGGAACACCTGTTGAAAATATGATAATTAGGAAAAAAAAGAAAGGCAGAGGGAACAACACCCATTGCAGGAGCAATGGCTGTTCTATCACACATTCCAGTCCTCTATTGCAGGGAGTCACAAATGAGTCCTACATTATTGCTTCTTATGGTCTCTCTTGCTTTTCTCCCACCTCTTTCATTTCTTCAGTTTAGTCTTAGAGCTAAATTAACTTAGTAAAAGGAGGAACCCCGAGAAACTTAGAATAAACTCAGTTCATATTTTGCCTCAGCATAACCATTTGTGCTTTAACTGACATGCTTTGAATCTAGCACAGGTTAGACATAGACAGATAAATTTCCAATAGGCAGGTTTTAGGAAGTGTTCAGACATTCTATGTCAGGCCAAACTGGCAGCCTACCCCACCCCCCCAGCAAATCTCCATTAGATGCAAGACATGGACAGAGTCATGGAAAAGATAATAGACCACCTTTTGGTCAAGGAGTTTGTGGACTGCAAATGTCTGACACATCTCTTGCAGGAAAATCCCCTCCCCTTGTCTCCTCCTATCTAGCTCACCACCTGATAGCATGAGATGCTAATGTTTGGTGACTGCAAGATCTAAGACTTATGTGGCTACAGTCAACATCAAAGGCCTGCGGCCCTGGACACTCCTCTGGGCCAAAAGCCCCTTGCCCCAAAGGCCCTTAAATATACCCATTTCTTGGCCCATCAGGGTCACACTTGCCTCTGAGTGTCAGCCTCCTTTCCATTCTGTGAAAGGTAAATAATAAACTTTACTGCTTTCTACTTTCTTCCTTGTTGCAATCTTGCGTTATTTCCGCTGCATGGGCACTGGCACCCGCACTGGCCCACCTCCCCTCAGTGGACCCTTTCACGTAGGTTCTCCATAGACAGTCTGTTGGGCCTATTCCCTTGCCACTTCTTTGCAACACTTTGGGTTTCCAAAGTACTTACACTTTTTTTTTTTTGAGTTGGAGTCTCACTCTGTCGTCCAGGCCGGAGTGCAGTAGCATGCTCACGGCCACTGCAGCCTCGACCTGCTGGGCTCAGGTGATCCACCTCAGTCTTACAAGCAGCTGGAACCACAAGCATGTGCCACCATGCCCAGCTGATTTTTTGATTTATTGTAGAGATGAGGTCTCGCATGCTGCTCAGGCTGGTTTCAAACCCCTGAGTTCAGGTAATCCTCTTGCTTCTGCCTTCCAAAGTGCTAGAATTTACAGGCATGGGCCACTGCATCTAGCTAGTACTTTCACTTATATTGTAAAATCTAATCTTCACAAAAACCCAATGGTGTAAACTATTTTACAAATTAAGTAGCCAAGGTTCAGGGATACTACATTGTTCCAGATTCTCATAATCGTGTAAGAGAAAGGACTTAAACCTCAGTCTTTGGGCTTCAAGTTCTGGGCAGTTTTCTCAATATCAACCTCCATCTGTGGGGAAACAGGTATTTCCTTCAAATTAGTCTTGTTCACAATACAAAGGGAAAGGGTTACAGCACTCAGTGTTGGCTACATCTTAGAGTCATCTGGAAGACTTTTAACTTGGGCCTACCATACCAGGCCTAGCCCAGACTTATTAAACTGGTGTCTCTGGTGTGAACTTTAGGTGTGTGTGTTTTAAAACCTCCTTTTCCTCACTCCCCCACCTCCCACTCAAGCGATTTTAATGTAAAGCAAAGGTTGAAATTCACTAAGTTATTACCTCCATTCATTAGTTCAGTGGTTCTCCAAGTATGGCCCCCAAACCAGCTGCATCAGCATCACCTGGGAGCTAGTTAGAAATGAAAACGATCTACTGAATCAAAAACTAAGGGTAGAACCCAGATTTGGGGATTAGATTTCAGATGCATGTACCAGAAGATTCAAAATCACAGTGTCTTAATTGCAGTTTATTTTTTTCTTATATAAAAGCAATCTAGAAATAGATGTTCCAGAGTAGATGTGGTCTTCCTGGGTGTTCGAGATCCTGATTCCTTCTTTGTTTGTTACCCTTCCATTGTCATCCCATGGCTTCTTCCTCATAATCCAAAATGGCTGCCTAATCTCCAGTGATTACTTCTGAATTCCAATCAATAAGAGGGGAATGCACTTCCCCAACCTTCACTTTAGTTACACTTCTTGGAAGTTGTAACTCATCAGCTTATATCACATTGACCAGTATTTAGTATTTATAGAGTCTTTGGAACAGGTAAATATTAAGCTCAAGCCCTCTCAGATCTGGGGTTACTGTGTTTTAATTGTGTGTATATACCACATTTTCTTTATCCATTCATCTGTTGTTGAACATATAGGTTGATTCCAAATCTTGGCTATTGTGAACAGTGCTGCAATAAACATAGGAGAGCCGATATCTCTGTAATATACTGATTTTCTTTCTTTTGGGTACATACCTAGCAGTGGAATTGCTGGATCATA